TGCATCAAATGTTAATGCTGTTTTGGATAGACTTTTTTATGCTGATTACGAATCCGTAAGTGTAAAGTCTCCATTGTCAAAAAATCGCGTTTTTTTCAATATTTTAGAAGCCAAAGCAAAGAAACTAAAGGTGATATTAGGCTTAAATTAACGCTAGAAGTCTCGACTACTATCCCTGAAAATACCATCCCTGCACCTTGAATTGATGGTCACTTATAGTAATCAGCATAAAAAAGTCTATCAAAAAGCTTTAACATTTGATGCAACAAAATCACTGTTCCCTTTTGTTATTATTATTATTCAAAGCACCTAAACCATTTGTTCTAACAAATTGTTTCTTAAAATTTACCTACGAGAGGGATTTTTCGTTTTGTACATATTGGAAAAATTCATCGAAAATTTGCTAAGTCCAACAAACAAATTTTAAGAAAAAATTAGAAAAATTGCTAAGTCACAAAATTATCTACAAAATTTGTAAAAAAGCAGACTTTTTTATTATTTTTTTTTAGTAAAGGGTAAATGAAAAACGCGAAACATTGCATTCAAAGTTTTGGAAAATACTTAAAGAAAAATACTTAGGAACGTTTTTTGTGTCTCCTGTACAATTGAAAAAAATGGACTTAGCAACTTTGCACTCTAAGCTAGCGATATAATTGTTTATACCTTAGAAGTACAGTTTAGCCGTAAAAGGGGTGTAAAGGAAACATGATTGCCTATTTATATAATTGATATTAATGCGAGAACAATGTACGTAAAACCGGCGTCGCATTTATTCTGTTAGTTGCAGCTAGGTGTAATAAAAACATGGAGGTGGTTGCTGTTGCCAATATGTCTGCCTTATCATGAGTTTCATTTTCCCCGAACCGTTTCATTTTACACTTTTGGTTTCCATGCATTTACGATGGGCGGATGACAAATTTGTGGGTGAATTTTTTTTGGGCGAAACTCAGGAATAAGTAGGCAGATTACTTTACGAGAAGGTTTTAATTAGTAATGCCAATAACAATAAATGAGAAAGACTTTAATTTTAGTAATTATTTTAATAATTTGTATACAAACAAAATCTTTCTAATAAAAAACTCATTTACGCAGAAAGAAGTTCTGCCTTTCTTCTTCGGTAACACAAACGAGAATTCTGCGTAGTAAGGGTTATGATCCCCAAGCGCGACCGAAGGCCGCCTACGCAGAAAGCAGTTTTGCCACTCTTCTCTGGCAACACAGAAAGGAGAATTCTGCGTAGTAAGGGTTATGATCCCTAAGCTCGGCCGAAGGCTGCCTACGCAGAAAGAAGTTCTCCCACTCCTCTCCGGCAACACAGAAAGGAGAATTCTGCATAGTAAGGTTTATGATGCCTAAGCGCGGCCGAAGGCCGCCTACGCAGAAAGAAGATCTGCCACTCTTCTCCGGCAACACAGAAAGGAGAATTCTGCATAGTAAGGTTTATGATGCCTAAGCGCGGCCGAAGGCCGCCTACGCAGAAAGAAGATCTGCCACTCTTCTCCGGCAACACAGAAAGAAGAATTCTGCGTAGTAAGGGTTATGATCCCTAAGCGCGGCAGAAGGCCGCCTACGCAAAAAGAAGATCTGCGACTCTTCTCCGGCAACACGGAAAGCAGACTTTAATTTTAGTAATTATTTGAATAATTTGTATATAAACAAAATCTTTCTTATAGAAAACTCATTTACGCAGAAAGAAGTTCCGCCCTTCTTCTTCGGTAACACAAACGAGAATTCTGCGTATTAAGGGATATGATCCCTAAGCGCGGCCGAAGGCCGCCTGCGCAGAAAGCAGTTTTGCCACTCTTCTCTGGCAACACGGAAAGGAGAATTCTGGGTAGTAAGGGTCATGATCCCTAAGCGCGGCCGAAGGCCGCCTACGCAGAAACCAATTTTGCCGCTCTTCTCTGCCAACACGGAAAGGAGAATTGTGGGTAGTAGCGGCCGCTTACGCAGAAAGAAGATCTGCCATTCTTCTCTGGCAACACAGAAAGGAGAATTCTGCGTAGTAAGCGTTATGATCCCTAAGCGCGGCCGAAGGCCGCCTACACAGAAAGAAGATCTACCACTTTTCTGCGGCAACACGGAAAGCACACTTTAATTTTAGTAATTATTTGAATAATTTGTATATAAACAAAATCTTTCTAATAGAAAACTCATTTACGCAGAAAGAAGTTCTGCCCTTCTTCTTCGGCAACACAAACGAGAATTCTGCGTAGTAAGGGTTATGATCCCTAAACTCGGCCAAAGGTTGCCTACGCTGAAAAAAATTCTGTCAGTTCTTTAATTGTAAAAAACTTAAAGTCTTTCACATTTATTTATATTGGCATCATTAACTAAAACCTTCTGTCAGTTCTTTAATTGTAAAAAACTTAAAGTCCTTCACATTTATTTTTATTGGCATCATTATCTAAAACCTTATCCTGAGTTTAGCTCGAAATAATTTCACCCGAAAATTTGTATTCCGCCCATAATAAATACATGGAAACGTGAAAAGTGAACCGGTTCGGGAAAATGAAACTTATGATAACGCCTCTTCTCTAAAAGTAATATATTGGCAACACCAAGCACCTCCATGTTTTTATTAGACCTAACTGCAACTAGCAGAATAAATGCGACGCCAGTTATTTGTACATTGCCTTCGCATTAATATTTAATTCAATCAATAAGTTTCGGGGTTTTTGTTTTACAATTTCAGTTAAAGTAAACTATAGTGAACATCTAGATACCAGTATGTGTTCAATTAATGCATTTATTAACATGAATTTAGTACTGACAAAGTTGGGCTGAATGAAACGTTTTTTTGCAAATAACTTTTGGACGGTTTAAAAAATCAGTTTCCTCCTTCGGATTCTTAATACAATAATACGCGTCGTTGGATACCCCTTTCGATTATTTTGCATACATTTTCGGTGGGGACCATGAAGTGCACAATTACCACAGAAAGTCACGTTATTTTAGATTACTTAAAAAAGCGGTGTACACTCACACTATGTAAAATACTCACTATTGCGTCACAAGTTCTTTGAATTAAACAAAAAGTGTTATAAAGCTAACTTGTGTAAAATCAAACGAGGTATACTATATAACCCCAAATCATTTTATGATTTTGTAAACTCCAAGCGAAATGTACGTTGGTTTCCTTCCTCCATAAAGTATCAAAATACCGTCTTAGTGTATGCATATTAAACCAAACTTATATATTCCTATTTTATTCGACATGCTGAATGCGGATCGGAGGTCCGTTAGCCTCCATCACGTCAGGTTCGTGGTCATTTGAAGGTCAAGCAGGGAAAAATTCATTGAATAAACCTGAAAATTTAATAAAATTCATCGGAATTTGACCTTGGGATAACCTTGGCAAGACCTCTAGATGACCTTGAGAAATCAAGGGACTCGGTTTCAGCGACAACAAAAACAAAAATTGTCAATGTAATTGTGGCATATTAACATTTTATTTTTATTGGGCTTTGTACCACGATTGATTGCTCAATAAAAATATTAAAAACAAAAAATTTTTTTTTATTTTTTTTTAATACATTTTTTTCCTATTTGATCTTCAAATGACCTCGGAGCTGGTATTATGGAGGTTAACGGACCTCGGGTTCGGGTTCAGCGAATCTAAAACCTTATATATATGAATTTTCAGGTTTATTCAATGAATTTTTCCCTACTTGACCTTCAACTGACCACGAACCTGACGTGATGGAGACTAACGGACTTCGCATTCGCATTCAGCGTGTCGAATAACATAGGGATAGGATATATAGGTTTGGTTTAATATGCATAAACTTTTTTTGTAAACCTGTGCAATCAAACAGTTACATGTTCGCTCAGTTTTTGAAGTGAAACTTCTTTAGCGGCGGTTGGTTGGGTGGGAGTAAATTGGCAAATTCAGTGGAAATTGCACACGGAAATGGTGCAACGGAAATGATGCAACGGAAATGGAGCAATGGAAATGGTTGGGGCTGAAAGAAGTACGTCTTGTGTGTATGCAAAGGAAATGATGCAACGGAAATGGTGCAACGGAAATGGTTGGGCTGAAACAAGTAGTTCTTGTGTGTATGCATATGGTATGAATTTAACCAAAACTTGCTAATAAAATGTTAGAGGATAACACTTAGAAATAACAATACAAGAATGAAAGTAAAGGTGAGTACGTACATAGATAAAGATAAATTATAAAGGCAAAGGAAAAATTAAAAACAAAAACAAAAACAAAGATGTGTAAAGATGAAGGTAAAAATGAGGACCAAGGTAAATTTAAACACTTTACTTATATATATAAGGGCAAAGGTGAAGAGGAATATGTTGACGAAGCAAATGATAAACATAAAAGTAACAAGTAAGAAAGTCTAAGTTCGGGCGGAGCCGAACATTAAATACCCGGCGCAAATATTAAATAAATGTTTTTTCACCTTTCCGAAACCTACCGCTACATGGTAAGCCGGGTGTATCTATTTTGAGTAAATTAGCATCCTTAAATGTCGAAATATTGATGTTTCAAGCATTTCTGAAATTTATCGTAATATGAAAAGCAGCCGTAATTTTAGTCCGATTTCAATAATTTTCAACGTTTTGCTTTTATGTGGCAAGCGCAATAAAAATACCGAGTTTGGTACAAATTGGTTGAACGGTTACCGATATATATATATGTGCCACGCCCATTTTCCAAAATTTTATCATAACCATATTTCTTGGTAAAAGATTGTTGCAAGCATCAATTTCGAATAAATTAGCTTTAATATTTACTGATTTATCGAAGATTTCGTATTTCTCCAAATTACCGTTATATAGGATGTGGGCGTGGTTATTGTCCGATTTTTTACATTTTCGGCCATTTGGTGTCCTGTACCAAGGCAAATAACAGTGCCAAGTTTGGAAGAAATCGGTGCAGCGGTTGCCAAGATATACACATGTAACCATAAGTGGGCGTAGCTACGCCCATTTTTGAAAAATTTGTAATATTCTTATTTTTCGTCT